TTTAATTGGGGAATTGGTGGTTTTGGTCAGCTGTCAGTTTTGAAGAAACCTAGAGAAAGCTATATCAGCTAATTTAATGAATCATAATCATTGGCCTCAGAAGGAATTCAAACCCTTGTTAATTCGTTTTCCAATTTAAAAATTTAGTGCGCCAAAAAAATTAGCATTATAGAGGTACCATTTTTCAAACAGGGGGGTCTGAATAAATTTAGAAAAATTTAGCATTATAGAGGTACCATTTACTAATCAGGATCCAACATTACACGGTGGACATCACCGACTGGAAGCTGGGCATCAGTGAGAGAAAAATGAGTTGGTTGAAGGAGTGGTCCAAATGGGCGATTTCCCAAGGCCACATGTTGGGCCGGGACTTCCAGGCAGGTCTTGGACGGCTTGGTTTCCTGGCCGGTATTGCAAAGAGGGCGAGACCTTTCTTGGCACCTCTCTACGCATCCTCGTCACGGGTGCGGGGAGGATCGTTTTTCGAGCTGCACCTTTCAACCAAGTTGGCCATTAAGTTTTTTGAGGAGTCCATTGGTGACCGGCCCATGAGACCGTTGTCTTCGTGGCCGTCGGTGTTGGGCGAGGTATTCCGTGTGGACGCCATGGCCGACCTGGAGGGTGTGGCCGTCGGAGACGTTCCACACCACCGACCCCATGAAAGCACGATGGTTTTCTGTGAAGTTGAATAGGACTACGGCTCCTTACTTGTACGTCAAGGGGGAGCCCTTCAAGACGATCGCCAGCGCCGAACTTCTTGCTGTCACGTTGGCGGTCATGGTTTTCGGCCCAGCAGGAAAGTGGCGCAGAGGAGCCGGCAGAGTGGCGGTGACTGGATTCACCGATAACATCTCGAACGCCTATTTGCTGGACAAGTATCTCACGACCAAGGTACTTCCAAAAATGCTGGAGGCAGCCATGAGCTTGGACGAGGAGATCCAGTTGAAGAAGACTTCCAAACAGAAACCTTCCTTTGCTGACAAGGCGCCGGCCGACCAGAAGCTTCGCCTTACCCAGCCTTGGTAAGCTAAAGAGGGAGGAGACTGGAACGGCGAAGGAGCACAACCCCAAAAAGATGCGGAAGTTGAAACACATGGCAATCGAGAAGCTCGCGTTCGATGAAATGTGTTTGAAACTGTAGCGGTGGCTCACAGAAGCCCACCCAACCGGGAGGAGACTGGAACGGCGAAGGAGCACAACCCCAAAAAGATGCGGAAGTTGAAACACATATATATATCTAAGAACTTCTAGATCCGGAATCCGGAAGGAAGGCCGGCCTGGACACGGTGTTCCGGTGTCTCGGTCATAACTTTGGGGGCACAAAGGATGTCATCATAATATGTCATTCCATGGAGGTGGGAGATCGGTTTGAGCTCAGATACAGTATTCTGAAAGCAGCCCTCGACGTCCTTGCTCATGAAGGTGCAAACTCTCCAACGCTTTGAGCTGACCCAAGAACTCCAAACAGTGATGCTTGGAAAATTCAGCAGGCGTCGCTGATTCGATTCGATTCCTTTGGCATCAACTGATGAGGTGCAGCAGTTTCCTCAACAATGAGCGTCCACGCGTGTGTTTGTGTGTGCTGTCTCAATTTGCCTGTGTGGCAACGGCGGCTTCCTTCAGAAGCATGGTGCGCTGCTGTCTCACTTGCATGTGTTTGGTCTCACCTTTTGATGGCTGGTGGCCGGTGTTTCTGTTCCTCTTCCTGTAGTCAGTCTGTGCGACGCGTGGCTTCGACCACAATGCGCGCAGCAATGGAAAAGATAGCTTGCTGCTGCAACTGCTACAACTTACCGTGCGCCCTGCGCCTCGTACCGCACTTTGCCACTGCGCAGTGCGCAGATGACTTAGAAACAGCTGCAGCCATAAATCTTATTCTTGCCCTCTTACTCGGCAAGAAGGCTGTCACTGTTTCTTTGCACCAACCTCTCGCGCACTGCTCTTGCGATGCGAGGCCTGGCCTTAACGCGTGGCCTGAAAGCAAAAAAAATCAGGCGAGAGGCTACCAGATCTCGAGGCTCGTTGGAGCGACTGTGACGTTCACTCTTGCAACAGAAATTCAGAAAGCGCTGGTCCTGTCCTGAATACTGGCATCATCTTTGGCATCGTCTTTCAATCTTTGCATAGAGGTCCATCCTGCGCAGAGTTTGAATAGCCTTGTTTCGCCACGGGGCCATTGGGCTTTGCAGCGCCGCGTGCAATTGCTCCACATGCTCCTGACGTGCGCCCACATTTTTCTGAACAGAGTGCAAATGAGGTACATTAAGTACAAAGAAACAGTGAGACACCACGCCTAGTGCGCAGCGCGGGTGAAACGGAGGAGAACCAGACAGCAAATCAAGTAACAAGGCGCATGTCGGCAGAGAGTTTCTCATCTCTCTCACTTCTGGAATGGCTGCGGACCGCGTGTTTTCAACATTTGTTGGCAAAGCGCTCAAAAATGCCTTGAGCTGCCCTGTTTTGGGGGACCCCAAAACTCGCATTTTAGAGGTCAGATTCCGTCCCCAAAAGCAGAGGCTCTTGACGCATTACTTGTAGCGCCATGGTCAACCCGTGCTAGGAGAGGCCGTGGCCCGAAACCCAGCGTTTTGGGCTCTCGCTTGAAGGCCGCCAAATTCACCGCTTACTGCTGCAAGTGCTAGACTAGACTTCACGCAGAAGTTCACGCCGCAGGCGCGGTTGCCATGAGTATAGTTTGGAGAGGCGCGCGTCCAACGTGACCACCTGCAGGCCTGCTTCCGGAATCTTCAGCGCTTGGCCTCACTAGCGCTTTAGTTGGTTACCAAAGCCAGGGTTGGTGGGCTAGGCTGAAGTTAGCTTCTCGTATGGTGATGTAGAAAAGGAGATGGCAGCATAGTGGCATCACATGCGTCAGCAAGGCGGTGTGTCATCTAGAAGAGGAATCCCGTTGACTTGGCTCAGCTACCACCTTACAGTGATGTTTGCCCGAAAACACACCTGTTGCGTGAAGGTCCACGTGGCCTGACCCGTGGCGACGCCGCCGGCTCCGTGTGAAGCGAAATGAAATTGTTGTTTTTCTCGGTTGTGTCCTTGCTCCTAGTAGTACTAACTTCACTCCAGACTGGACGGATATTGGGAAATGCCGTGCCCCATGCTGTCCCACCTGGCACAGTTCCCGCCCAAGAGAAACGCATCCGATTAAATCAAAATTTGCCTAGGGCTGTGCCCCTCCACACGGTGCCCCACCCACGCCTACCTCCGTCATGTTCAAAACAATCAAAACCGATCAAAAAGAACAAAAATGGATCAAAATCAGTGAAAAACATGAAAAATCAATCGCAATCGAAAACAAGGAAAAACGTCAAGAAACATGTAAAAACAATCAAAATCAACGTTCAACAAAAAACATGAAAAACTCACAGAATCAACAAAAAACATGAAAAGTCAACCGAAAATCCACAAATATACAAAACAACACGAAAAATTGACAAAAAATGCCAAAAAACAGAAGAAAAACAGAGGAAAAACAAAGGAACAGTCGAGGAAAAATCGAAGAACTGTCGAGGCGCTACTTTTCCGCTATTGTTCCTCTACTTTTCCTTTGCTTGTCCTCTGCTTTTGTGCACTTCTTGTCAATTGTCCGTTTTGATTTGTATATTTGTTTATTTTCGGTTGATTTTTCATGTTTTTGTTGATTCTGTGAGTTTTGTTTGTTTTTTGTTGATTTTGTTTTTTTACATGTGTTTTGACGGTTTTCATTGTTTTCGATTGAGCTTCATTGATGTTCATCCGTTTTAATAGTTTTCGATTGATTTTTCATGTCTTTCATTGGTTTTGATCCATTTTTGTTATTTTTGATTGGTTTTGATTGTTTTAAACATGACAGAGGTAGGTGGGGCTGGGACAGAGTGTGGAGGGCGCTGATTTGAACCAATTCCTATCTACTCCCATTCTGCCAGCATGAGCGGGGCCAAAGCCTTGCCCGGAGTGAAGGTAGTACCTAGTAGTAAGGCCAGAAGCCCCTAGTAGCTTCTTGTTACTAGTAGCCATGCCAGAAGCCCCTAGTAGTTTCTTGTTACTAGTAGCGATGCCAGGAGCCCCTAGTAGCTTCCTGTTACTAGTAGCGGGATGCCAGGAGCCCCTAGTAGCGGCCTTGCTCCTGGTTTTTTTTCTTTTGTTTTGGTGTTTCGGTCCTGTTGTGCCGGTGTGTCTCAAGGGCGGTTGCTCGTCATATCTTGGTGGTTTGTCAGACTGCAGTGAGCTGTGCATCATAGTTTTGCTCCCTAGTGTAACATAGCATGATTTCGCGGTGACCCGTTCAGCTGGGGGAACTCTATTTACACCATTTTACACCCGCATCATTTCAATCGCCGCTCTGATCACCAAGCGCGAACACGCAAGGGATAAAAACCTTGCTCATTATTGCGCAGGCGCAGGCCCTGTAATGTTCCCCGAACATACGCAACCCGCAACCCATGACGAGACTGTGACTAAGAGCTCTGAGCACCGAAGGCTACGAAACAAAAAATCCAAAGGGTGAGACCATTGTATTTTCTCATTCGTGGCGCTTTCTTTGGCCACAATGCTTTGCGTGTGGTGTTTAGCGACAATGTGATAGATTGATTTGTAAGTGTGATCGGCGCTTTTCACTGAGGTCATCCAAGCTCTGGCCACCATGTTGCCGCGGAACTTCATCATCCCAGAGGCGGTGCTTTGTAAGGAGATCTGACGCGAAAACATTGCGTATTTGATGTATTTGTTACTGGTTGGTCTAGTCGGGGAGTTTTTGTTCAATTGGGATACCATGGACCATCAACAATTGCCGGATTTTATGGCCCCCGCCCCACCAAAAATACCGTTTTACGATGTTCTACACCCGTTTGTTGCCTGCGTGTTATGATTCTGTGATCATGTTCTTTTGTTCGGGGCAGTGGGCGGTGGCCTGGAGATAATAACATTCGATTTCCTTGATGAATTTTTACACATTTTGTTTGGTAATACAATCGCTTCCATGTCATGTCATTGACATTTCTCTAGAACCATGGGGTGTTGGTGGTGGGGTGTAGGTTTCGTTGCGTTTAGCCCATGCGCAGTTTCCGCATGGTTGTAGACACCGATACGTTGGTACAAACGCGCTGCATTCTTCGGCGCAAAGTAATTGCGCAGTGATTCTTGTATTGGGTTTGTATCAGTTAGTACATTTGTTTATGGTACCGCCACACTGGGCCGCCGCGGACTGTGTACTGGAACGTGTTGTCGGAAGTAGTTGGGCGGGTGCGTTGTGGTGGGATGATGACGTTGATGTCCACGTGAAAAATACTTTGTCAAAATTTAACTGTTTGTGGTTTCAGCATAATTGCTGGAACTCAAAAAACAGATAGTTGCTGATGTTGCTGGAATTCCATGGCAGGCCATTAGCGCAAACAAATTCAATCCTTCTGTCAACCCGCAGCTGATCCAATGTGCCCGCAGCTGGCAGTACAGAAACCTTGCAAAGGATGAGCCTGTGAAACACTTAGAAAAGACATGAAAGAAGTTGTTCAACTTCCAGAAAAGGTGATGAAACAAATAACCTGGAGATGTCGCGGAATGTTTGCCGGTCGATTTTCAAAAACGCTCCGAAACACATATCGACCTTCAAAACACGCGACGCCTGAGTGGGCTCGATCCCTTGTTTATCACTGAACTTGTATGATTTTATTTTTGGCGTGTGTGTAGCCAAAAATATCTAAGATTTGGGAAGGATTTTTACAAGAAATCGTTGCGCAACAGCGTTTCCCATGTGAAAAAACACGTTTCATGGAAAAAAGTGCGCGACCTCAGAGGCTTGCCTGCCCGCTACCCAAATGTTGGATCGATTTGGACAAATGGACACCCAACAATTCTTTGTCAAAGTATGTCAAAGTCAAGATCAAAGACCAAAAAAAATCCGATGTTGTAGAATGTGGCGAGCAATCACCACAGAAGGAGCTTGCCAAGGGTGATTGGAAAAGGCCGACGATGTGCCGGTCACAATCACTATATTGCATTGGCAAAAACCTTTCTAGTCCAAAACGCATTTTGAGGTGCAACCCGCCCTTGCCTTTCCAAAAACAATGAAAACAATGCCCCTCGAAATTTTGCAGCAATGCATTTGGGGAGACTACGCAAGCCTAGCAGCAGCGACAGAGTCCGGAGAGGGTTAAGTTAGCTCCTAGCCATAGTTCACGTTAATGATTTGGTTAGGTTTTAGTTTCAGCAAGCTGAGGGCAAGCCTATTACGGCGCTGCGCAAGCAAACATGCATGCTTATGAAAAAACTGTTCCTTTCAAACCATCCCCCAATCAAAACTTGTGCGAGACCTTCCCCATCTTGGTGAACCTGTGCGGCAAAACTCCTAATAGTAATTGAGCTGTTCAAAATCAATCCTTAATTCCTGCGCGGATTGTGGTTTATACGGATTGCCGATTGCGGATTACGGATTCCATGGTTATTATTCGCGTGTATTTCTTTATTTTGGAGGCTTTGGGGTGCGTAAGGTAGAATCCAGGGCGCAATCATTTCGGGCAGTCGATTATTATTGGGAGGGTAGCAGCTATGTCCCTTATATGCAGTAGGTGCTCAGGTTCAACCCAGCTTGCAGAGGTTGATTGCTTTTCAGGTGGTTAAGTGGTCAAGAGCTCCGAACGGTAATCAAATTCCAGGCGGTATTTTGATTATATACTTCTCAGGTTCCTGATCAAGAGCTCCGAAAAGTAGTCAAATTCAACGCGGAATTTTGATTACTTTTCGGGTGCCTAAGTGGTCAAGAGCTCAGAAAAGTAATCAAATTCCAGGCGTATGTTTGATTATTTTTCAGGTGCCTAAGTGGTCAAGAGCTCAGAAAAACAATCGAATTCCAGGCATATGTTTGATTATTTTTCAGGTGCCTGAATGGTCAAGAGCTCAGAAAAGCAATCGAATTCCAGGCGTATTGTTGATGATGTTTCGGGTGCCTGAATGCTTAAGAGATTCGAACAGTAATTAATCAACATCCAAGCAACTTGTTGATGACTTTTCAGGTGCCTCAGTGGTCTAGTGCCAGACATGAGAGTGCGCTCGCCGAACCTATAAATGACTACAGCACCCAAATACGCCCAACAGTCACAAACACCACACTCAAACGAATTATGGCTATTTTCTTCCTCGGATTGTCGGGCAAAACCAGGATAATGGATCATAGTAGAGGCCGTCCTTATTTTGAAAGGCCAGACTAAGCGGCCAAGAGGCGTTTGGTTGTAAAGGAATATTGTGCACCTGTCATTCTGCCATATTCTGCCTGCAGGTCGAACATAGTTTGTGTCAATGTGAGTGGGGAAAACTATCTTCTTGACCTAAAAGCATGAAGATCTCGATCTCGCCGACCAGGTGAAAGGAAACCTCTCCGCGGAGGATCGACGCATCCTGTTGGCCAGCTTCCCGAGCCATTGCTACAAGAAGGCCCACATTTGATCGCTTTTGCATTCTTTGGTTTGCTTTCCTGAACCAATCAAATGGCTCTAAACTTTAGAAGCTTGTTTGTTACTGTGACTTGGTTCATTCTGTTATTCACAGTCGTCGTAGAATTCGCCAACGCCAAATTCATCCAAAACCAACATTCATTCAAAAGAAGTTGGAGTCGTGCAACTGCAAAGACGTGTCCAGAAGCACTGTGTTTTTAAACCAACACGTCACAAAGATGTGGAAGTAATCCACATGCAGAGTTCTTGAGAGTACCCTGTTTCCAGGGATTTGGGTCGGTAATTCCTGTGATCCCAACCAACTTTGCCTTTACTTTAGGTCGCTAAAGTGATCATTGGCGAGCCGCCTGCAGATTACAAGACCTTCATGCAGCAGGTGCGCCCACAAAACGTTCAATGACGTCTGTATGTAAGATTACAGAATCCAACGGCAAAGAGGATCAAGATGAATGAAAGAAGGTTGCATGGCACGTACTTGTGTTTGACTTATTGAACCAATTTAAAATTACTGACCAGTATGCAGCCACCTTCCCTTTGTATTGTTGATTATCAGCTCGGGTTCGGCTGCATTTTCAATGTTCACCGTTTCGAGGCTTGGTTGAAGGACAAAAAGGCAAAGGCAGAAGCAGAGCTGATGCGAAAGAAGGCCAAGAGCGGATTGTTTTTATGCGGTTCTTGTGAGTTTGCAAGATTCTTGATTCTGAAGCACCTGGCTGAGCTGCCTTGGACATCTACTCTGGTCTTAGGCAGAGGCTGCTAGGAAAAAGGAAGAGGAAGCGCATAGGAAGGCGTTCGGACACTCAGAGTTTGGTCTTCAGAGGAGCTGGAAGGACTGCATTTCACTTGGCGTTTGACTGTGTGAGGAGCCTGATGTCAATGGGCTCCGAAAGTAGTACACAGTTCACCATTTGCTGCTTCCCTGCGCACACTGTGCCACTATGCTCGCATGCAGCTTGAATGGTCCAGGCTGGTTGGTTCCTCGAATCTTCTTAGCACATGCCAAACTTTGGACTCAAGCGCTGTCCATGACCGCCCAGACTTTCCGACCCCTGTAGACTTGCGCGGTGTGCAATCCATGGAGAAAGAGTTGTTCATTCCACACATTGTGTTTTTTGCGGCGCAGCCCAGCCTCCATCTACAAGACAAGATGGCCACCTCCACCTACATGAGAACATGAGGCAAGAAGAGCAGAAGAAGGCGGACAATTCCAAGGCCTTCAAGGGAAGGAGGTATCCAAATGAGAAACTCAAGACCCCAAAAACTCCAACGGTGCTGTTTTGGTGCTTGCCGACACTCAATCAGTTTGAGGTTGTTCACGGTGGTCTAATTTTGTTGTTCTTTTATATGCCTTGTCATCTCGGTGTTCTTGTCAAGTCCCAAGCAAAATTCTACCAACACGTCCAGCACGCTTGCGTGTTTTGTGAAGAGTTTGACAAACTCGGAGGGACCAGGCTGGTTTGCTCATAATGCTATTAACCCATAAACAAACCTAGAGTGAGTGCTATTTTGACAAGTCTGTGTAGGCCATCAATGGAGCTTGATAAGTTTGGCTAGCGAATTGCTTTTTCACGAAACATTAGCAGACTGTTCTATAGTTCAGCGGAGCGGTGGCGTAATTACAACTGGATGTTTTGGTTTGATATCGATCGCCCGCCCCTGTGATTCACCTGATTTTGGCACACGCGGTTTTCGGATGCTTTTGGTTTCATGAAGAGAATGATTTAGAGAAGGACCACGTCTGTGAATATCGGGGTGTATACACATACACTGGGGATCACTGGGGTTGCTCATGAAATTTGAACACTTTTAGATCTTTTGTGGAAGACCGTGTTTCTCTGAACTGAACTTCATTCATTGTAGGGCAGCGGCACGCATGCTATTGTTGTTGAAGCGTGGTATGCAGATCTCAGCACCACTGCTCATTTGTCAGGAAGCGGAGGCAGAAGGAGCTGAAGGCTTCGTCAATTTGCTATATTATGTAATTTATAATGTATACATTTGTTGTTGAACATTTGAAGCCTAAATGCGCACTGACCAACTCTGGCAGTCCCGAGGCCCTATTCCCGATGCTGAGTTCTTGTGCAGATAGACTTCGTCAGACATTCAATACCTCCTTCCTTGTTTGCCGGAAGAGGATCCCCATCTCGAGTGCAACTTAATCAGGTGAGTCGAAAGAAGATGGAAAGGAGAAGGGAGAAGAGGAGGAGAAGGAGATGGACCTGCGAACTCATCCAGTCGCTTCCTCATCAGGAAGCCTTTCAACTTTGAACGGTGTTTTCTTAAAGTTTCGTCATGTTTAGATATGTTTAGTCTATTCTCAATACGGTTTGAGTTTGTTGGGGGCAGAGGCAGACAGGGCACAACCTGGGAGAAAAACCTGGTTGCGAAAAGGGCGATCTTCTAGAAAGCTGGAGGCCATTGCGATTAGGTTGTAAGTCGTAAGCCTATCGTAAGCCCATCTACCACAGTCTACCACCAATGAGGGTCTTTCAACCCTCAAAGAGCCAGTCGTTGTTTTGGCTTGAAATCGCATGCCACTGCCTTTGTGAGACACAATGACACGCTCATGCTTGATTTTGAGTGAGTGCTTCGTGTTTTGTCGAGTTCGAAATGCTTTGCGAGGATGCGAAAGATGAAGATGCGATGGAAGAAGAGGTTGGAAGAAATCCCAATTCACAATATCAATAGCATCCTCACAACTAGAGGGGTGCTTCTGAAGCCACGCAGCAGGTCCTAGTGAACTTGACGGAGGAAGAGAAGAAGTCGAAAGCTTACCCTCTTTGATATGCACTCCAGGATTTGGCGATTGTCAAGACCCGGCCTATCGGTCTATCGAAATTATTTTGAGGTGGCAGTCACGCCGATATTGGGAGTCAGTACAAATCAAAATAACTTGCAAGAGTGTTTTGTAGTGATTTGCTGAGTTGTTTTTTGGGCGGTGTTTGGCGGGTTCAGCAATCATGCAAACGATTGTTGTAGACTTGCACACACCAAAATTTGACAAGACAACTTTGTGTTCTTGCTGCACATGTTCCTAGTCAATGTATTGATGGTGCCTGACCACTTCTCTACTTTCAACCGATTTGTCCTAGACCAGCCACCCCCTTCGATTCGAGACTAGCCTTTGCTGCATGACGCTTTGGGGGATGTCAAGTGCCGAAAATTATCGAACATTGATGTTGACTTGTTTTTGGGTTTAGGGTGAGTGAGTCAAGATCGTGTTTTTGCACTCTTGGAGCATAGGGTAGTAACGGGTAGTAGTGACCCTACGCAAGGTGCATTGATGATTCATGTGTTTGGCCATGCAAAAATTGCCAAGGCGATGGTTCAGGCCCACGGATTCTCCTGACTTGACCTCCAAGGAGTGGCACCGTATGTGTTGTGTAGGTGAGAGAACATTGAGGGGTAAGCCATAAGTGGAGTAAGCTGTAGCTAGTACGATTTGGTTCCTAGAGTTTGAGGGAAACTATATACCTTTTTAAAAAGCCAGACATGTTCATCATTTTAAAAGGCTCAATCTGGTTCTGGGAAGGCATCCATGTTCACCGGGCTGTTCCTGAGAACTGACAACTGCCTCAACGCGCAACCATCTATGATGTCCGGAAAAAAAAATGAGCGAAGCTTGTCAAGAGCCTACAATGGCCCCATCTACTCCAGATTGTTCCTGCAGAGTCCAGTTTCACTCCTTGAGCGGAGGAGATGTCATCATCCTATCAGAAGTTCACCCTCCCTAGCAAGGAGGAAGGCCGGATGCTTCCGGAAAGAGATCAATGCATTGAGCTGTCGGTTCTCCCACTACCTCTGGCATACTGTAATATATTGTATAAATCAATATATAAATGTATAATATATATATATATCCTTGACAAAGAGACTTATATACATGTACAGTAAATACATTGTCGTGCTTCGCAAGTTGAGCATGGCACAGGCTGCGCAGGGGAAATTGCTAGTCGCCTGTCCCACCAATAGGGCAGCAAAGAAAGCACGCCAAACCTGGTTTGCAATTATATATGCAAGTCGATGGTGTGAGAGGAACAAAAAGGGACACTTTCTTTTTAATGCAGAACTTCAGATTCCAGCGATGTTGGGCATGTAAGTTGAAAGCATAGGTAGATGATGCCAGGGTATGCCAAAGCCGATTCGTTCATTCTGTATGTCATTGTTGGTTTTGGACCAAACTAGTCTAGCAGCTAGTCTTTTGCTGATATGTAATTATACATATGCATTTAGCTGCTAATGTATTTTAAGCGTTTGTCAAGGTAAGATTTGATTTACATTGCCTGAAATAATTGTTGCTTTACGTGCTAGTTAAGAAATAGGGCTCCCAGTTTCCTGGGCGCATTTTGTTGATCCAAATTCCATCTACGATCCAAAATCCCTCTATAAAATGAGGGGGTTGACTCCCCCTATATGTTGTTTTATTTATATAAGTTGAACAGAGGGTATACCATGTTATACCTCTGATTTTATAGTGGGCGATGACTTTATAGAGAAGTTATATTGGTCCAATTGATGTCAGGACCCTGATTTTACAGACCGAGTGGATGGGAACAAGATGGAACAAGATATCAAAATAACAACAATATATAAAAAAAGAAACTAAAAAAATATATTTAAAAAATACACACATCGTTTCCCTGAAGCTGCCCTGCCCTGTGTTATTTCTCCAGATTATTTCTCCAGATAACTCCATCCAGGATCCTCAGCCCTTCTCTAAGCTCCAATCCATTCCAGTGCTGCTGTTCTCACTCTACTACCAGAACAAGCTGCCCGTACAGGTGTTGCCCCCCCACTCATTTTATAGACGGCTGTTCGGTGCAACTAGAAATCTCCAACGGGCTGCCGTTCTCATTCTTTTGCCACATCCAAAGACCAGCTGTCCTTTGCTCTCTCTCTCTCTCTCCAAGAAATCCATTCACCACGCACCCTTTTTGATGGCAAGGATGCTCAGCCCTTGTTTGAGCTCCAATGCCTCAGCCTCCAATCCAGCACTCCTTCTGGCCCCATGCAATTTCTATGGTTTTGTATTACCAGGCTAAGCTGCCTCCTGCGCATTTTTCAAGCAGCTGATTCCACTCCACCAAACATATGGGGCATCTAGGTGTTGGCCCCCCCTATTTTTATGGACAGTGATGTTCTGTGGAAATCTTGAAGAGGCTGCTGTTCTGATTCTATTGCCACATCCAATCCAAGACAAGCTGCCCTGCCTTATTTCTCCAGATACCTTGTCTACGTTCCAATACCAGCTGGAGATCTGGAATAGGCCACGCCTGCCTCCATTCCAGTGGCATCAGCATGCATCAGAAGCAGCTTGAAAAAAATCGCTGCATTTCCTGTTAGCAATTTTGGCTTACTTAATCACTGCCGTTGGATACAGCGAGCTAACTAACCTTAGAGTTGAATGTCCCATTGTGCAGCGTGGGGTTAGTTTGGGACAAACGTGGGGAAATACCTGGACACGTGGCGCGCCCAAGATGATCTCAGCACGCTAGACTTTATAGTCGATCAGCTGTTTTGTTGTCACTTCCCTCTTCGCTTTATAGGGTGAGTGTGGGTCAGGGCGTGACGTCTTATGGTGCATCTTGTAGCTTGGACCCCTCAATTTATAATTAAGCATATTGAGGGTCACACCTTGAGTCACACCCCCATAGCTATAAAGTCTGGAGTGAGACCTACCCCCCTATTTTTTGTGGACACCTTTTCAGTGATTACTCATATATGTTTGTCCCAAGTCGTTATACCGAGAAAGACTCCTTGGCTTCTTGAATCGTAAAGAAACACAGACCTGGTTGGGCTCCCAGGTTGTGATGAAATCACCTTCCTGTGGCACAAGGAAGCACAGAGCAAGGACTACCTGAACAAATGGGTGCCTCAATGACAAGTGATTTAGTCGGCTTCATTTTTCGGGAGTTTGGGAGGATTTCAACCATGTGGAGGGGCTTCACATTTTGCTTGTCCGAGCCTGCATGCAAAACCTACATAACGACCACTTTCCCAAAGCAGCTGTGGCCTGAACATCATGTTGTTACAACGTTGTACAAATCGCAAGTATTTACAGTAGTATCAGTAGTGGCTCGAATTTCAAGAAACCACTATATATTCAACACAACTCTGGGAGTCATACAGCGGAAAATTGCAAAGACCTGTTCAAGAGTTGTCAGAGAGCTGCAGCAACAAACACAAGTTCAAAGGTATGAAAGGTACCCGTCCGAGACGCACAAACATTAAAATAGGAAGGTTTGCAAACCCATGTTGGAAGCCGTGCATCCACATGTTCACAAGACACATTTGAGCCAGTTATGCCAGGTCCAGGAACGCAAGAAAGTTCAGCGCGTTGACGATCTTCAGTGCCTCGACCATGATCGGTTTGCGCAGGTTTGAAAGTTTGTGAGTGGACATGATGTGTTTATCAATATGCTCTGGACCAACAGACACTTGTTTTGATTCACAATGTCGCAATATGTTGCAATCCAATCCCCTATCTCTTAAGCCTAAGCTTTGGGTCTTGAGACTTATCTCCAGTCTCACAGCAATTGAAAGATGACCAAATCCACAATGGTAATTCACCGAGGCACTCCTGAATCATGCTGATCTCATGCTGATCTCATGTTAACTGTGTGAATCGAAGACCCCGTTGAAACATTTGAGAGATATTCAGATATTCTGAATTGTCAACACAGTGTCATGGGTATGGAAACTGTTTACCCGAGAATCCAAAAATATCATCAGTTTTTGTTTAACACATGAATAGGGCCCAAAGCTGATTGAACTTGCGGAAGTTTTAGTCTGACTTGGAAGCTGTGGAGTTTTGCCCTGAATTGGAAAAAAGGAAAGCAAACTTATTGGATTGGGCTCGAGACACCAGTGCACCTGAACAGGCCAATTAGAGCCCCGGCATGCCACGCCACAATAACGGTTAATTACTGTATATATTTCTTTAAACACAATGCTGCATAACCTTGAATAGGAGCCCAGTGAAAAATAGGAGACTAGGGCTTACAAATGATAACATCAACAAAGAAATAGCCGATAATAGAGGCGAGATCGAACCCCTTCTGTGACAGGCAGAGATGCCTTCAGATTGGTTCAGGAACACGTTCACTGAATGGGATTACAAAAGATCAGCGTCATGGTGTGTTTTTCTTTAGACATGCCGTATTAGTTATTTAGACTGTTTTTCTTTGGACCTGTTTCTTCTCTACATGATGTTTCTCTCGTGTTTTGGATTGTCCGGAGTTGGCGAATCCTAGGCCTTCAGATTGGTTCAGGAACAAGTTCACTGAATGGAATCGAGTGCTTGGTGCATGGACACTGGGCGGCATGTTGGAGGGGGGCCTGATGGATCGATGAACAACTGAAATCAAGTGGGAGTTCTATCGTCAAGGACACAATTGTGGTTTATGGACAACGCATATTTCTGGAGTACTCTTGAAAGACAAGCTTTTCTGGGGGCATCTCAACAACTGTGCAGTGTTGCACAACTTGTCGTTTGCAGTTTGCCGATGATTCTCGGGTTGGCTAAACAGCTCAGGAGGAAGTTGCAGTCAGACTTCAAGGAGGGGATACTGCTGGTAGGAAAGGCGAAAGGAACAGTCAGAAAGAAGTTACTCGTAGAAGTGTCGAGCCCAGACGCACACCACATCGCACCAAATTAAAGTGTTAAAGATGCTTTTGTGTGCATGCCTTCGAGAATTGTGATGCAGGCACGGGATGTGTCACTTTTGCATATGATTGCCAGGATCCAAGTCGAAGACGGGCTTTGGCCATGGCCAAGAAAGCTC